ATAAAAACAATTCTGATCAAGCCTTTGACAATTTCGGAAAACAATAGAATACCAAATGTAAATTGTGGAGCATTAAGAAATGATTCAGAAAATAGAGTGTATTGTAACCCTCAGTGGACCGGTACACCAATATTGTAGCCCTCAATGGACTGGTACACCAATATTGTAACCCTCAATGGACCGGTACCCCAATATTTTTACCCTCAATGGACTGGTACACCAATATTGTAACCCTCAATCGACCGGTACCCCAATATTTTAACCCTCACTGGACCGGTACACCAATATTGTAACCCTCAATGGACCGGTACCCCAATATTTTAACCCTTACTGGACCGGTACACCAATATTGTTACCCTCAATGGACCGGTACCCCAATATTGTAACCCTCACTGGACCGGTACACCAATATTGTTACCCCTCACTGGACCGGTACACCAATATTGTTACTCTCACTGGACCGGTACACCAATATTGTAACCCTCACTGGACCGATACCCCAATGTTGTAACCTTCACTGGCCCGGTACACCAATATTGTAACTCTCACTAGACCGGTACACCAATATTTTTACCCTAAATGGACCGGTACCCCAATATTGCAACCCTCACTGGACCGTACACAGAGTATATTGCTCCTTACAAAAACGGGCATTAAAAAAGTTCATCGTTTCAGAGAAATATAAGACTGTTTGGAGCAGACTGTGTGGTGTGTAAGGACTGGTCCGGAAGCTGGAATCTGTTAAATCAGTCACCGGGTTGGTCCGGTCCACTAGAATTTCCATACAATAAAAAAAAAGAAAAAGAAGAAGAAAAGATCCACCGCAACAAAATTGGGAACGATTCAGCCACTGGCAAATGCCACCCCCCCCCCCCCTCCACCCAACCACACACACATGCACGCTCGTGCACGTATATCCGCGTGTGCGTGCATGGTGCATGGGTATTCCACAGAGCTAGGTTAATCACATAAGACAAAAATCAAGCTCATTGATCGTACGTGTGTGTGTGTATGTGTGTGTGCGCATATTAGTGTGTTTTCACCTACTCGTGTCCACAATATTGCCTCGATCTTTATTGGAATTTCACAGCTGGTCAGCCTTGGTAACAGCTCGACACAGCACCATGTTGGTCAATATTAAACTGAGGTCAAAGTCACAAGTCATCTATAAAACGGACCAGTTCTTATGAAATTTACGTCTCATTTTTTCCTTGTTCCTTTATTCCGACCTTCTTTCCTTCCAATTTTCTTTACGTTTTCCTCCCTTCCATCCTCTCTCCTTTACTCCTTCCCTCCTCCTTCTCTCCGTTCCTTCCTTCCGTCCTTTCTTCCTTATTGCCTCTCTACCTCCTCTTAATCCGTCATTCTACTCTGCCTAACTATCTCTGTCTTTCTGTTCACTTGTTTATTTAAAATTTCAGTCTGTCTCTTCTCTTCTCTCTCCAAACACACACATTATCAACTCCACGTTCAGGACATACAAACTAAAATAGCAAGCCTCTAACTGTCTGTCTGTCTGTCGGTCTCTCTGTCTGTGTTTAACTGCTTTTCTGTCCCTATCTATGCCCGTCTACCAGTCCTGTTGTTTATCTGTCTGTGTCCGTGTCTGTCTTTTTGCTTGTGTGGCTGTCTCTGTTTATGCCTTAATGGTGTCCTTCTGTCTCTGATTATGTTCATCTGTCTCTTTAATTTCTCTGTTTGTCTCTGCGTCTCTTCATTTATCTGCCTGCTCTCTGTCTCTTCAATTATCCTTATGGCTCTGTCTCTACATTTATATGTCTGTCTCTGTCTCTGTCTCTACATTTATATGTCTGTCTCTGTCTCTGTCTCTACATTTATCTGTCTGCCTCTGTCTCTTAGTTTATCTGTCTGCCTTTGCCTCTTCAATTGTCCTTATGGCTCTGTCTCCACATTTACCTGTTTGCCTCTGTCTCTTCGTTTATCTGCATGTCTCTGTCTCTACATTTATCTGTCTGCCTCTGCTTCGTTGCTTGTCTCTCTCTCTGTCTATCTATTCACGGCACAAGATAAAATAACAAGCCCCTCCATCAAGCTCTTCCCCTCTCTCCCCCCGTCCATGTCCTCCCTCCTCTTATTTTCCCCTCTCCCACAGTTCCTCTCTTTCTCCTCCCCCTCCCACCCCTACCCCCTCCCTCTCCCTGCCTACCCTCCTCCTTTATTATCCTTCTCCTGCCCACCCTTCCTCTTATTCTACCTCTCTGCTCACCCTCCTTCGTATTCTCCCTCTCCATGCCCCCCTTGTTCCTGCTGCCTTCTTACCATCTCATTCTGCCCCCCCCTCTCTCTGCCCCCCCTCAAAGTATCCCTCTCCTGCCCGCCTCCCTTTTATTATCCCCTTCTCTCTCCTCCTTCCCATAGCCTGCCTCTCACTGCCCCCGTCCCTCTTATTCTCCCTCTCTCTCTCTTCACCTCTTATTCTTCCTCTCCCTGTCTACCTTTACTCTTGTTCTCACTTTCTCTGTCCTCCCTCTCTCTTATATTCCTTCGCCCTGCCTTTCCACTTTCTTATTCTCCCTCTCTCTTTCCTCTTTCACTCTTAATTTCCATTTATCTGTTCACCCTCCCTCTTATTCTTCCTCGCCCTGACTTCCCACTCTCTTATTCTCCCTCACTCTGTCCACCCTCCCGTTTATTCTCCCTTGCCTTGCATTCCCACTCTCTTATGCTCCCTCTCCCTTCCCTCCCTCTATTTCATTATCCCTCTTACTGCCCTACTTCCCTCTTATTCTCCCTCTCCCTGTCCTCTCTCCCTCCCTCCCTCCTATCCTCCCCCCTCTGTCTCTGAGGGCTTTATTTTGCATTTTCTCGAGAAACCACTGTTACTGACAGTCTCATCATCACTGACTCTCTATCCTCACTACTTGCCCTTGGCACCCTCGACTCAGGTTGTCACGCTCTTGTCTCTGAAGCCAGACACAAATATGCGTGCCTTGTTGACCGGGGTGTCAAGGTCAAACTGCTGTGGATCCCCTCTCACATAGGCCTCATAAAACATGACAGAGTTGATGCCCTCGCCAAACTCGCGTCTAACAAAGACACCGTTGAATACAATTTGGGTCTGTCAAAAAGAACCCTTAAAACTGTAATTAGGAAAGAACTTATTGATGAGTTTGACGCAAGTAGACAAGTGCAAACAGGCACTAGTCGATCCATAGTTTACCATGATGAGATGTATCAAGTGAAACATGTATATGGAGCAAGTAACAAGATCACTAGATTACAAGATGTTGTAACCGCTAGATTAAGGTTAGGATATAAGTACCTTTGGCAGTATGTTTCTCAAGCAGATGTAAACAAAACTAAATGTAAAGTGTGTGGCCAGACATATGGCTACACACTTGAAATCTACGTCCTCGACTGTATGAAGATAGAACCTTTTAGGGACAGGTCCAAGCACACTGTGTGTGAAATGGCACAACACTTCATCTCTAATGGCAAGATAGCCGACTTATTAAGATTGTATCCACTTTTTTGCACTTAGTAACTATATCAGTTCTCGTGTACAGAACCTGAACACACCTCTCTCTCTCTCTCTCTCTCTCTCTCTCTCTCTCTCTCTCCTTCCATGATTACCTCCTTCTAATCCTCTCAGTCCCTTCCCTTCATCTCTTCCACTAAAATTCTCTCGCCTCAACATTTCCACTCTCCTCCCTCCCTCCCTACCTTCCTCTCTTGCCACTCCCCTCCTCTCACCCTCGCACCTCCACCACCAGCACTCTACCACAGTCCACTCAGACTCTTACGCCACTCCTACTTTTTTCAATATTTATATAAATATATACATTGAGATTCTGGGATTAACTTTTCCGCCTCAGGAAGAAGTCTATTTAGGAGGATTTGGGCGATAATCTTGCCAGCTACAGACAGCAGCGAGATCCCACGGTAGTTGTCACAGTCTGACCGGTCTTCCTTGTTCTTATAAATATTGGAGGATTTCCTACTTTTCCTATATTTTCTCCAGGAGAGAGTGGAGACGGCTGGTAAGTAGAGGTCCACCTGCTTTATGCCTCTCGGCTCGGATCCGATCAGGTCCTGAAGCTTTGTTATTCTTCATCAGTTTGATGGCAGTATCCTCCTCATCCAGGGATGGTGGATAGCTGAGGTGGATCAGCTCTGGATGCTGAGGGACCTGCTGGGTAGTCAGGACATCCACATCGGTGTTTCGATTGAGCAGTAAATGGTAGTGCTCTTTCCAGTGCTGAAGGATGCCTTCTTCGTCTTTAGTTACCGAGTTCCTGTCGGATGAGTGGAGGGGGGCTGCTCCATGAATGAATGGCCCATAAAATGTTTCAGTGGAATTGAAAAATTCGCGTATCTTCTGTTGGTCTACAAGCTTTTGCCTTTCACATGCTTTATTTTCAAACCAGTCGTTCTTTCATTTGCAAAGTTCGCACTGGGACGTCGCTTTCTTCTTAAGGAAGGTATCAACTTTGGTCTGAGACTGAGAGTTGTTCTGCCGGTCAGTTAAAGAAGCACGTTTATCATCGACAAATATATTGATTTTCGGATCATTTTCATCAAACCAGTCCCAGTGTATTCTTTCAATCTGGCCGAGAATTTCCAGTTCGGCACTGGGATTTCGGTTGTTTCTTGTCTCGTTGTTTATCAACCCATGTTCGAGCTTCTCTTCGAAAGTAAGTGCTACTGCTGGAACCTCCAGATGCTCAGAGTTTGTTGCCTTCGCCATTTTGGAGCGACAGGAAGTGAGAGCTTGGCTCTGACGAGCTGATAATTAATGTTGCAGAGATCTGAGCCATGCACGGCTCGGGTAATGAGGACATCACGGCGATCTCTTTTTCTGGGAATGATGTTGTCAATGAAATGCCAGTGTTTGGATTATTGGTGTTGCACGAACCCTTGAACTTGTCGGCCTGCCTAAACAAGGTATTGGTGAGAGTGAGGTTGTGTGCAGGACACTTGCTGAGTAGGATTAGGCCGTTGGGATTACACTTGCCTATTCCATTTCTCCCTTTGATTCCATGCTAAATGTTAGCATCTCTGCAAACTTTGACACTGAAGTCACCGAGGAGAAATACCTTCTCTTCTCTGTCAAGGTCGGTGTAAAAGACTTCTGATGTCTTCCTCTGCATCCAGTGTTGAGGGCGTATGCACTAATGAAGAAGGAATGACGTGAGTAATTCAGTGGGACTTGAGGCGTCACAAGACACTCGTTGATCCCAACAGGCATTTCAGTTAGCCTATGTAGGATGCATTGGTGGATAGCAAGGTCAACTCCATATATGCTGATTCTATCCCCAGTAGGCTTACCCTTCCAGAAGAAGGTATAGCTAGACCCCCGTTCTGTGAGTCGACCCTCCTCTGGGAGCTGGGACTCACTAATGGCTGCTATTTCGATGGTATTACTAGCCAGCTCTTTTGCCGTAAGGGCGGTTCTTCTTTCAGGATGTTCATTTGTTCAAGTATCCAGTAGGTCCTAATATTCCTTACAGCTACCATAAGAGGTTGTATAGTTTGATTTTGTTTTGATCTGTGATTATAATTGTGTTTTCGTCCGCATAAGGGTGATCTTACTGGGTGCGGTTGCCCAGTCAGGTCAGTCATTTAGGCAGGCTATGTTTAGGGCACCTTTTCTAGCCCCCTCCCCATGTGGGGTGAGCAGAGTGGCTCCTCGAAAGGGCTGCTCAGATGCACAGATAGGACCGGATTGCACTGCTGCCTAAGTCCCAATCTATAAAAGACTATCTTATCTGTGCCACCCATGTGCAGAGTTGTGACTAGACTCCCCCAGCAGTCATTTCTGCCTGCAGTCCCCGTCACCACTCGTCGGTCGCCATAGGACTTTTGGAGGTATAGGGGTTTTGATGATGATGGGAAGTATGATAAGCTGGATGATGGCTACGTGTAAATTGATTTATGTGGTGAAGCAGGAGCGCAGGCTGCAACAATACATATTGGCTCTCCCGTTTCCAGATCCAGTGGTGTAAATGTTGCAATGACTGGTGAGAGGGAGAGTTGCAAAGGACTGCAGAGAGCCCAGTTTGTTGTGTTTCGCCTTAGTAGCCTTTCCATTATGCATTACGTTCGTCCGCCGGTGTAGTCGTTGGGTTCCCATGTTGATCACCTCTTCCGCTTATACCACCGGAGAGTCTTGCTGGAACTCTGTAAGCATGTCTGCCTGATGCGTTGCTCCACCGTAGATTTTTCGTTCAGGGTTTACTCCTATAGCCTTCTACATAGCAAGGTTAATTCGCAAGGCAGCGAGGCAGTGGCTGGTAGGCCCCAGGACATATCCACATGCCAGTGGGCCTATGCGCCGTCCCTCTGGGACCGATTGCTGCTCCGATATCCTCTTCTGGTCTAGATTGGGCTCACGAGGCACCCAGTTACCGTGTGTTACCATGAGGAGGCACAGCAGGAGTCTTGATGGTGATGAGGCTGTGTACTGGCAGGGGAGGGCTTATGCAATTTGTTTCCCTGTTCGTCACTAGGACTAGCCGGTGGCTGTAGCTGAATGCGAGAGGAAGCTAGCAAGCAAGCATAATGCTGTTACCCTAGGCACATTACACACACACACACACATTCGTGTCATGCACGTTTTTTTCGCGGCCACTCGACTCTTGACTATAAGCACTAAAGTACCTAACCCAGGCAAACCCAACCCCTCTTAAAGCCCTTCAAATAGCTATAAAATTGGCTATTTTAGTCTAATTGCTTCAATAAGGTTTGCACAGACTTTGAAAAGGATTCAGTAATAATATCAGCTCATAATTTGCATGACTAAATATGTAGTCACTGGGTGCTGACGGGGGTGGTTTTCGACCTTCGGATGACAAGACTTCATATTTATTAATTTATTTAATTTATTTGAGACCTAATTTATACACTGTTATTTATAAGACACGAGAACATCGAGGAAGGTAAATGGTTTAGGGGAAAAATATATTATACACTATATTTCATGTATAATGGGAAGAAATATCCGGACAATTTGACATAAGAAAAGGTTACAAATTCAAGTATCCTTGCTAGTACACATTTGTATTCCTTTTCCATAACATTTTTCACTAATTTGCAACTAAATATAATTCAAATCTGTTTATGGAAAGTAAAATTTGTATTCCTAGTAATTGTTTTATATAATGAAAATTGTTCTTGATAAACCAGTTTCATTCAAAGTACATAAAACCAAAATAGACTAACCTTTAGATGCTCCATTACATTAATTGTGTTATTGTTCATGATACTTTTGGAAAAAGACCTTCATATGTATTGATTTTTCATATTTCACACAACGAATTCTACAAATTTTCTTGCATACTGTGTAGCGCTGCACTGGACAGCTCTCTGGTCGCGGTTATCCGTTCTAGCAGCTGCAGGAACTGAACTTAATGGGCCAGGACGAGAATTGACCATTGGTCTTGGCCGAGACTGCTTCGACATTACTATTACTAAGCTTCTTCAGAAGTCATTTTGCTTTGTTTGAGTACTGGAGCACATCTGATATAATCTCCAGTTGAATACAACTGCAATATTTATTGCATTTACAAACAGAGGCTAGTACCACTTTTTACCTTGAATTAATTCTTGTCCTGTAATCTGCTAGTGCTCTATCCATGAGATCTACTCCACCCATCCCTTTGTTGCAACTTGCAACAACTGCTGGCTGAGGGATATTCACTGATCCGTTTCCCTCCATCCATCTTTTTATTTCCTTGATTTGATCCACGCCAGTAGCATTACTACAAAAGGTCACAACAGAATTGTCATGCCATCTAACCATCTCTACATCTCCTTCTGATTTATAATCATATGTGCTTCTTTCACTCTTTCATGTCTGATACACTCTTCATTCTGCACCCTCTCATACAATTTTCTCTTATGGTGCTAGTAGTTCAGTATCCAATAGACTTCAGATTTATAACGAGATCATATGATGTAAAAAAAATATCAAAGCATAAGTGATGAGAGGTAGGCTTTTCACAAACTTTGACACAGTCCATAACAACTCGTATATGGAACTGTATATAGAAACTTTGTAAGGCATGCCACTTGAGCTAGCAATTACCCCGGATAAATTGCTTGCATGGATGCCTCCCACGGTAGGGTACCATAGATTCATCAATGCTGAGATCTTCATGTAGCACACCAAACATAGTCAAAGATTGGTTTAGAATGTCAAATAGAGGACTGATCTTTGCCATTTTAATTGACCCAAGTGAGTGGTTATCAGCCACATGAAGAAAATTTTTGAGCTGCTGAAAGCGATTACGACTCATAGTTTCAGCAAGGTGGGAGATTGGGAGACTTACTCCAGTAGTCTCTCTCACTTGTGCGTATGTTGTAACCAGAAAGCAAAAGTAAACCCAGAAAATTGTACATCTCTTCACCTGTCACCTGAAAGTCTGCCATGTTTACGTCTCTAGTGGCATATCTGTTAGTCTCACAAACTAGTGTGTCAAATATATTTTGGAATGCTCTCATACAAATTGTCCTTTCAGAAGCTCCGCCAAGGTCAGGATGTCTTGAGTAGCAGTTGTCGTGCACTTTCATTTTTGTCTTCGTGTACGTCAGGCTGAGAAGCAATATGGCTCTGCTTCCACTTAGGAAAAATACCTCTTTAATTTTTGTTTGAACTTCGAATGCTTATGCCATCATCAGGTTCCTCAAATTATATCAACTTTATCTGTAATCTCTTGTGGCATGGTTCCTTCATACTGTATATTATCATCATCAACTTGTTCTATATCACTGCCGTCACCTCCACCTAGTGGACCAGTAATTGGAATATTGCCAACTCCATCCACTTCTTCAATGTTATCCAAAGAAGTTCTCAGGAAAGGATGAAACAATTTTTTTTTTCCATAAAACGTTTTTGAATTCATAGCGTATTACTCCTGAAACAAAAAAGATAAACAATTGATGAACTCCGCAATAACTTGTTTTACTAAAAATCGGCAAAAAATTAATGCCATAAAAAATAACAAGCTAGCTTTATCTTTATTGAAGGCAGACAGAAGTGATCATCAATTATATTCCTTACGGTTGACCAAAAAGATTCAGATTTCAGATTTGCCCCGGATGGGGCTAGTTCATTGGGCACCCCCTTACATCCTGTGCAAGGTAAAGCGCAGAAGCGTTTACAGCGCCCAACAGGGAAGTATGAAAAGTTCATACTTGCCTTTATGACTCGTACATTAAGGGCGTAAAAGCCTGAAGGGAAAGTTCCCGGTACATTTTATCTGTTTATGGCAAAGAGTGGCAGGTCCCTAATAATGTCAAATGCTAGGCCTGTGACTAGGAGGAGGGATATCTGGTCTGGGAGGGAAGAGGTGTTGGTAACGGCTGGGGACCTATAGGAGGAGGTCATAGGGCAAGTGAGGATGTAGCGAAAAAAGGGTGTGAGAGTCGGGTTGGCCACAAAGTTTACAAACAGTGCGGTGAGGCTCAGGGATGCCAATGTACTCCCATAGGTACCTGTACCCTAGGCGCAGTCTCATGTATATATGCTGTTGAGATCGAGTCAGGGATTACACTTGAGAACTGAACCTCGGCGAGGTAGGTTCTCCCTGCTCCCGAGGTACCGCGTGACCATGTTCACCTTTGAAGATGCGAAGGTCGTTAGACTGGTTCCGATCAATCACCCTTCGCGCAAAGAACTAAACCTCCTTGTCCTGAGGAAGTTTTTTGACTCCTCGGGAATCACGGGGGTGACAAGGGTCGTCCGCAGTGACAGCGGCGACCTTATCGTCACCTTCGCGGACTGGGGAGGAGCCAGGCAACTAAGTCATATTAAAGAAATCAATGGAATCAAGATCAAGCTTAAATGCAGCTATGTTGCTAACTCGGTTATGGGAGTCATCTCCCACACAGAAATCGAATATCTCGAAGGAGAAGAAATTTTTGAACTGATCGGAAATGGGATCGCCTTTGTTAGGAAGCTGACCAGCACAGCTGCCCTGGTTGGCTTCCCAAAGGAACTTCCTAGCTCCGTTTTACTGGGTTGGGAGAAAATCCCAGTAAAACCATACCAGAAAAAACCTACTCGTTGCTACAATTGCCAGAAGTATGGCCATCTGGCGCGGAAGTGTCGTGC